CCATAAGATCGGAATGTAGGGGATGGGCAACGTCATCTAGAATTCGACCAGCAAATTGCTTGACCGCATTGAAGTGACGTTGTAAGATTGTGTCAACTAAAAAAATATAAGAAACGCCGGCAGCAGAAGAGAGCATGCGGAGGATTCGTTTCAAAACTAAAAGATCCTTTTTTAACAAAACAGGAAAAACGACAGGAGAACAGTATAGGATAAGAGGAATAATGCAGGCATCAATGAATCGCCAGACTAAGGGTTGAGGTGTGTAGTAGGAAAGCAAACGACGAATGTAGTAAAGGAGTTTACGAACTTTAATAAATAGGGACTCAATATGGAGGGAAAAAGAAAGATTTGAGGACAAAGTAACGCCGAGATACCTGAAAGAGGATACCTCATTAGGAAGAATGTCAGAGGAATCAGGGTTAGGAGAGGGCCGCAGTCGAAAAATACACTGAACGCATTTTTGGTTGTTAATTAGGAGACCATTTTCCTCCGACCACGCTAGGACATGGTTTAGGCCATCCTTTAGAGACCGGAGGTGTGTCTGACTTTTGAGAGGGTGTCCAACAACCACATCGTCAGCATACTTGACCAGAAGACAGTCATTAGGGGACCTGAGATCATCAGTGTGGAGGGAGAAAAGGTGAGGGGATAGAATTGAACCTTGAAGAACACCGCAGTCATTGGGAAGGGTCGAAGATTTTCGCTTGCCAGATTGGACAAATTGGATGCGAAAGTTAAATAATCGCCCAGCCAAGAGACGACCCAGCCTGGAGAGCCACATGCGGAGGTTTTGGAAAGGAGAAGAGGACGCGGGACGGTATTGAAGGCGGAGGAGTAATCAAGAAAAGCGCACGCATACTCGCGGCAACCCTTGTCTAATGCTTTTAGAGCAGAGTGGACCACAAGAGCGACAGCATCTTAAGTACTCCGTTTAGCTTTGTATGCAAATTGTAAGGGGTCGGAAAAACTGGAAGAAAAAGGCTTTATGATATCTAGGGCAACTCTTTCAGCAAGCTTTAGTATTGCAGAGGAGCAGGCAATTGGGCGAAAAGATTTAGGACCAAAGTTAGCAGGGTTTGTAGCCTTTTGTCTGTCTCTCTGAAGTAGTTGACTTCACAAGATTTACACTGGACCCGGTAGATGACATGTGTCGTCTCACCTCGTTACAGGGAGGAGGGCCTTCGGTCTCGTAACCAAATGTTGAATGGTTGAGTCTGGTCGATGAGCGATTCCGATCCCCAAGGGTCTTAGGAGGCAGAAAACTGCTTCAGAGAGACCGTCGACGTATGGCTGTGCATGCCAGATGTTTGGCTGTTCTGTCACCCGATTTTGACTTGATTTAGGTAGGGGGGTATCCGTTGGCCATGAAAAGTCGCTGAAGGTAGGGGAGTTCTGTCCTTCTGTCATCCGGTTCACTGCAGTGTGTTTCTGCTCTACTGTAGAGTTCGCACACAGCTGCGTTTGTGGCATAACGGGTGTTTACTGTGATAGGTTAGGATTTGGCGTGTGTTGGTAGCCTTCCTATACACCGTCGTTGTTATGTGCCCGTTTGGTTTTGATGGACACGAACGTCAAGAAACGGCAGCTGGTTGTTGCTTTCCGCCTCCATCGTAAATTGGATGTGCGGGAGAACAGAATTCAAGACATTGTGAAATTCGTCGATCATTTCTCGCTTGATGATGCCGACATACCGAGTCGAAAACTTTGGCCTGTGAATTGTGAAAACCAGGCTCTCTAGTTTTTACAGAACTGCCTCAACTTTGAAGCCGGAGAGAGGCGATCGCATCGGCGTCCCTCTAATCTGTTCATACGTAGTTTCCTCGAAAGCGAAGTACGTCTTCAAACAGAATTTTAAGAGTTCGACTAGATGTCTGCGCTTCACTGACTCGTCCGTTTCGTCATACTGCTTCCCGAGCAATTCGCTGACCATTTCGATAGCCAGGTCCTGCGGGAGTGAAGTGGAGATACCATGACCTCGTCCGCAGTGAGTCGCGTTCCCTGAGTCGTTTCAGAAACTGAGTAGCTGAACAGATCGTTGTGGTTGCGCCTGAGGCTAGAGACCTCAGGTTTCGGAACAGCCATTTAGCCCGATTGAATGCTGGCGCGCCGCGCAGTGACACGATTGGTTGGAGGGGGACATCGACCTTGTGCACTTTAGGTAGTCCGTAGAACCTTGGTGCAGCTGCATCTACTGGTTTAACGGCCAGTCGTACCGACTTGCTTATTACTTTGTTTGTATGCATTTCGGCGAGCGTTTTGTCCAAATGCGTGAACAGCTTCCTCATCGGCTCATCCTCACATCGGAGGTAGGCCTGTCGATCATCTAGAAAGTTGTTGGCCCTCTGAATGTAGTCGGTCTTGTCCAGTACAGCTGTAGAATGCTCTTTGTCTGCTGGCAGTATCACAATGCTCTTGTCGGCCCTCGGTTTCTTGAGAGCATCCTGTTTCGCTGTGGTGATAATTGCGCTTGGTTTGTGCGCCACCACCAAGACGGTTGTCCGTTCCCGAACGAGGTGTTTTGCTTCGTCGTACTCATCGATTTGTTCGAGAAATGATTCCGAGATCGCCTCTTCTTCTCGCTTATATCAGGGAACTCGAATCTTCGGTTCTATTAATATATATATCCCGTTCATCATCTCAAAGAAGACGAAGAAGAAGAGGCGACTCCATGGACCACACTGTATTGATGCTGACGTTTCGGAAACTTCCTCGCCAGCAGGCTGGTCAGAGTTCGTATATCAGGCATGCCTATAACACGAGACAGGCGGCGATACGGAACAACTCCGGAATAGCAGGAACAAACCCTACTACTCTGATAATGGAAACGAAGAAACTTACGAAACGTCAGCACCAATAAAGTGTGGCCCATGGAATCGCCTCGTTTCCTTCTTTGTCTTCTTTTGGGGATGATGAAGGAGATAATCTATCTGGACCTCTAATCTTCATTCATGTTGAGTAGAGTTTTACTCGTAAATTTTCGAGCTGGTTGCACAAACGCGTCGTCAGACGAAGTGAATAATGAGAGGTGGGATTGTCAGACTGCTGGTTCAGGACGCAGACAGAGAGATAAGCGGACGACCTTGAGAGGGGGAAGTGTGCGTCGTGCTGTGATGGGTGCCGGAGGTGAGGATAGGTGTTATGGGTCCCGGGTGTGGCTCAACGTGTTGGGAGGGTGGGGGGGAGGGAGGAGGGCAGGGAGGTAGGAATGAGGTGTCTGTGCTAACTATTCGGACATACCGTGACTTTCTCCGCATTTTCTCACACAGCTTATACCCACCGGGCAATATGCTCTGCGGTTAAATTTAAAATTATAAAGGGTTACGTAGGTCTGCAAACTGCTCCCATCATGGATACTTACAAATCTCGTTGAACAGCGAACTTACACACAGCGGCCGCCAAGTTCGGGTGTTTGCCGACTTGCTGTAGGTTGGTGCGGTGGCGTTGGAGTACGGCCAGTTATCCTAAACATTTTTGCGTTATGCGTATTAAACGGTGCATGCGGTGGAGATCACCGATATAACAAATAGGGAGGGGGTGAGGAGGGGGTTAGTAAGGGGCTGGGAAGTGACGCAATTGTCATAAGCAGTTTATTCAATCACTCATACCCAACCGCAGTACATCGATGTCCCTTCGCGTCCCGCTTGCGCATCGTCTGATTCTCGTCCATCTGCTGCACACCACATCAAGGGTGGCGCCAACGATCCCATTGGTTAACCGCTTGGCGGTTCAGGTTTACTTGCCCCGGCCGCCAATCCCATCACGCCTAAGGTACTCCCTATTTGCACGCCATCCTACGGTATTTTTCACTTCATTAAAACAAATAATTATTTCTCTGCTATTTCCAACATTTTTTCAACATCCAGCCGTCAATCCAGTGCCCTCTGCTGTTTACCCCTCCCGTTCTTCCCCTCAAAACCGCCATTCCGTTTTACATGACCCACCTAGACAAATTTTCTCACTGTGGCCACCTGTTTGGCCTCTGCCATAAACAATCTCTTTCAGTAAGGAACTGAAAGTATTTCAGTTGTCGTTTGCTCGACCATGCAGTTCAGTCTGCCATGATACAGCTGCCGCTTCCCTCCTCATGAGAGAATAGTCCCCTTTCCTACTGTTTCTCTTCCACCTATCGGGTTGAACGGATTGGAAAAACAGTGAGTACTCGAAGTAGAGCATGATGTGATCGCTTGACCCTAATGGCGGTCGGTCCTGCAGGTCTAACACGTTTTCCTCCTCTCAGGTAAAAATAAGATCAAGGCAGTTCGACTGCTGTCCTTCCCTGGCCGGCGTTCCAAAGGTAACATTCTGGCAGAGAAGTTTGTCTGTTGCCCATTGTAGTTGTTTGTGATTAAAGCTGTCTTGCGGCCCTTGTGCAGTCCACATTAGCCGATCAATGCCAGGAGCGTTTAAATCCCCAACGATAAGGACCTCTTTCTTCCCACTGTCTTTCTTAAGTTCAGTTAAGAGCACGAGTTCTTGGTCAGAAGTATGGTTAGGTGAACGGTACACCACCGAAAGAGTCAGTGATCGGACATTATTAGCAGATATGGTAACGCTTAGCAGTTCTACATCCCGTACCAGACTATGTACATCAGCCATAGCGCTTAGCTTGCAAGTGACATAAATTATGACTCCTCCTCCTCCACGGCTTAGTCTGTCTCTCCTGAATTGCTGATATCCTCTAAGTGATATTTCTGAGTCTGCGATATCTTCAGTAAGCCACGTTTCTGTGAATGCCATAATGTCTGGCTTAATTTCGTCATCTAAGTCTCTTAGTTCGTCTAGTTTGTTGAAGAGGCTTTGCACATTTGCGGATATAACCTTCAATGACTGATTCGTTGGAGAGGCCCGGCCTTCATTGTGACGGGTTCTGACCACAGGAAAGACCCCTTTGTCTGGACTATTTGTCCATTTCTGATCTTCAGCCCTTTCTCTCCTCTGCCAATTCCCTCCTTCAATTCTGATCTCAGTTCTCTCATTTTCAGTATTTCCCTCGGTTCGTAGTCTGGTTGAAAAAAACGCTTCCTTGTGCGAGTTGCGTAAGGTCGTTCTACTGGGGCGTCGTTTTCCAAAATAACTTTCAGGGGTCTTGGGTGATGTTTGTTAAGTCACGATCTGGGTCTGCTTTGTCTAGTCGGAAAGCTTTTTTAATGGTGAATATTTCCCCATCCTTCAGGACGGCACTGGCGTACTGATGAAGAAGGTGTAGGTCGTGCGTCACTCGTTCCTTCGGAATGCAGGACGTGGACTCTGGGGCGCCGCTTATGACAATATTTGGCTTACGATTTATGGATGATCTCATTACTGTCCCATCCGCGCTAGGACGATGTAACGTCACTGTAGTATGCGCCACGGATGTTGGTACTTCGACATTTCAGTGATTTTTGACCGGCGAAGGGGGTATAGGGCATGTATTTTCATGTGGCGTACTTGCTCGGGCAGTGGAGCTCTTACAATCATTACCCTGTTGCAATGTACTGCACGAAGGCTTATCGTGTCCTTTTCCATAAACGGAATGATTGGGGCACTTTCCAGATGAGTTGGCCTTGTGATGAAGTGGAGTAACAGCATTGCCTTCCAAGAATAACGGCGAGTCCTTGTAGTTTGTAACTGATCTTCTGAGGGTCACCCTGGCTTTTCCAACTTTAGTGTTCGATGGTTTGGCAGGTTTAGTTACTATAGCGGGTAATGAAACCTGACTTATTTTAATGCATTAACGTCGACCCCCACGTTATCCACCGGAACTGATTTGTCTGGAGTTTCCCCTGGAGACATAACTCGCTTCCTCTTCCTGACTGGCTTCGAGTTTTCCGCGCCAATGCCTTTATTAGTAAGATGTTCGTCGGTTATCGATCGGAAATTTGACGGATTATTTAGTAATTCTATTTTACTGTGCTTCAAATTAGCCATAATGATGTCCGTCAGTAGGCCCTGCTTCTCCTCTAGCGTCTGGGCTCGCTTTTCAAGTTCCTCACAGCTGACACAGCGACCGACAAGCGCAGAATCCGTCCCGTCTGTCATACTGTTTTCAAGGCCTCTTGGCTGTGAATCGGTTCTTATTTCCTGTCTTGTCTCGTGGAGCCTATTGTGCTTAAGCCCCCTGGCCTCTAAAGATTCCAGCAGCATTTTATCGCAAGAGACTGCTAATGAATTAAAGACCGTTCTCAGCTGCTCTTCTGTAGTTAACAAACTTATCTGACCAGCGTCAGACCATTAATCGGCAGTGCAGATAACCTCTTCAAATCCCGGTTGCGCAACTTTTGTGGACGCGTTTTATAACTGATTGGCTCATTGTTGATGGTTTTCAAACTTGTCAATCAGTTCTAGATTAGTGCAGGATGTTTTCAACAATTTGTAGAATAAAGACTTTGCGAATTATGAAGTTAAATAGGAAACGATTCAGGCGTTTATGGTTTTCTATGTAGATCTCGGAGAAAAGTCGTAAAGTAGGAAGCCTTGTACAGATGGGTGGACGAGGGCAAATAGCTGTTGATGGAGAATTTGTGGTATACTTCACTGGCGCGAATGAGAGGACTAATCAGTTTTTCTTTTCCTTGGAGAATTCGGGTAGAATCTTCCTCCTGATACTGTGGGAAATAACGTCGAGATCCGAAGATTTCAAGAAAAGTATAACTTTCGAGGTGGTGTACTCGAAATCCAAATTCAAAGGATACGTTGTCAGTTCGCAGTTTATTTTCACGCGACGTCCAGTCTGCCCTATACTACCAAATAAAATCGACGAAAATTCGGAGAGCTGGGGATTCGGCTCAAATTAGAAGGACGCACAGAATTCAGAACATTGTGAAATTCTTTAATTAAAGAACAGTTTGCCACTAGGGAACCATCTCCCACTTAATGATGACAAAGGTATCATCGACATATCGAATCCAAAATTTTGGTCTGTATATCTCTAAGACTGCGGTCTCCACCTTTTGGAGAACTGCATCCGCGATAAAGCCTTAAAGGAGTCATCCCATCGGCGTCCCCTTGATCTGTTCGTACACTCCCCCTTCGAAGATAAAGAAGGCCTTTAGGCAGAAGTTTAGCAATTGAATGAAATGCCTCCGTTTGACACTTTCGCCTGTCTCGTCGTACTTGCTTTCAAGCGGTTCGCTAACCGTTTCAACCGCTAGGTATTGCGGGATCGAAGTGAAGAGAGAGGTGACGTCGAATGACACCATGACGTTGTCTTCGCTGAGTCGCACGCCTCTGAGCCGCTCTAGGAACTGTGACATTGAACAGACTGCGCCCGAGGTGAGAGACCTCAGTATGCGCAATAAACATTTTGCCAGATTATCTGTTGGTACACCGCGCAATGATACGATTGGTTGGAGGAGGAGACCGGCTTTGTGTACCTTTGGCAGGCCGTAGAAACTTGCTGGGGCCGCATCTGTTGGCTCAATGGCCAGCCGTACCGACTCCCTTATTGCTTCGTTCGACTGCATGTCGACGAGCGTCTTGTCCAGTTGCGTCACCAGCTTCTTCATCGATTACTCGCCACATGGGGGGCACACCTGTGGGTCCTCCAGCAGGTCTTTGACCTTTTGAATGGATTCAGCCTTGCAAAGTACGACTGTGGAACGTTCTTTGTCTGCCGGTGGTGTGACAAGGCTGGTGTCAGTCCTGAGCGCCTTGAGAGCTCTCTGTCCCGCTCTGGTAATGACTGTACGTGGTTTGTGCGCCATCACCAAGGAGGTAACCTGTTGCCGAATGAGATGCGTTGTCTCGTCCAGTTGCCCGGTTTGTTTGAGGATCGACTCGACCGTGGCCACGAGACTGACCGGATCGGCGTCAGCGGTGTTGAAGCAAGCTTCATGACTGAGCACTTTCATTTGTGCAGGAGTCAGCTGTTTGGAGGACATATTGTGAACAGGGTAATGCAGAGATCGCCTCTTCTCCTTTATGTTTGGGGACGCGCAGCTTCGCTTCTATCATATGCATACGTATGTGAAATAAGAGACGGCTTTTCGGAAAATCGAGTTGTACTCGTGAATTTTCAAGTTGGGGACACCAACCCGTCGTCAGACGGAATGAAGACAAGGAGAAAGTGAAACTGTGACACTAGACCAGTTGGCGCGACAGGAGAGAGGTAGACTGGCAGATCATTAGTGTGTGTGAGGGGTGAGGTGGGCACAGGGTCGCGATAGGTTCCTGAGCTGGGGGAGAGAGGCGAGAGGAGAACAGTTGTGGTTCTCTGTGCTGGAGGGGGGAGTGGTAGGTTAGCGGGGCTGTGGGCAGCATGATTAGCGATCGCCGATGCAGCATGTGGGCTGGCTCAATGAGCCGTGATCACAGGCCTTTATAATGTGCGTCCAAATCGACATGGCGGTTGATGCTGGTCGTGTTAGAATGCCAATCTTCGAGAAATTCTCGCGCCTGTTTGGTGTTAACCATTGTGATCACTTCCGTGCCGTCCCAATTGAAGCTGTGGTCGCACTCAAGGGAGTGCGCAAGTTTGAGCGATCGCTAATCCAGCCGCCCACAGTCCCGCTAAATTACCGCCCCCCTGTCTCGCCTCCCCCCCTTCCAGGAACCTACTGTGACCTTTGTCCGCCGCATCCCTCTCACACGCCAATGGTCTCTCTGTCAATGTCTGACTTGTCGCGTCAACTGGTCTAGTGTGACAGTCAGTTTCTCCCTTGTCCTCATTTTGGCTGACGACGGGTTGATGTCACCAACTTTTAAATTCACAAGTACAAATAGACTTTCCAAAGAGCCTTCTCATTTTTCATTATATCATCCTGGAATGCACACTACTTCAGTTTATATATGAAGATAGAAGGTTCGTCGGAAAACGTCGAGTTGTACTAGTGAATTTTCGAGCTGGTGACACCAACCCGTCGTCAGACGAAATAAGCAGTGGAGAAAGTGAACTAATCAGAATAAATTGGTTGGCGTGACAGGGCAGCCATTGATAGGCAAGCAGCTAATGTATGAAAGGGGGTGAACACATAATTAGGCTAAGGATCCTTGGCGGGGGGGGGACGGGGGAACTGTTGCGGCTCCCTCTGTTGGAGGGTAGAGGGGATGACGATTTAATGGGACTAAGGACAGTGGACGTGGTGGTCGTCGATCCGGCACGCGGGCAGGCGTCAGTGAGCCAGCGTAGAGGCGTTAGAGATTGCAGTTGCGGTTCGCAGTGTCTGGGGGGGGTGTAATGGGGTGGCGAAATAGTGCCATTCTACATGGCCCAGTGTGGATTAGCGGCTGTTTTTAGGTCGTAGACGCAAGTCAGTGAGCCGGGCACGCAGACCTTCGTAACGAGCGTTCAGATCGACAGGCGATTGATGCTTGTCGTGTTAGACTGCCAGGCTTCGAGGGATTCACAAGTCTGTTTGCCATGGCAACAAATTCAGTTCCGTCCCAATTGATGCGGTGGTCGCATTCAACGGCGTGCGCAAACACGAGTGACAAAGGGTCACGTCGACGGATGGCTAGTTTATGTTCGTTTATACGCCTCCCTAGTCGTCGGCCTGTATGACCAACATAGTCGCGAGAGCAGTTGACACACGGAATATGCTAGATGACATTGGTTTGCTACTCTTTCAGTGTAGGGTCTTTCACTCGGGATAGTGTTACGCGCACGGAGGACGCCGGCTTATGGGCAATGAAAATGCCAAACCGGTTTAGTTGACGGGTGATCACTTCGGAAATGCCCTGCACGTGTAGAGTATAGAGTAGCATTTCGGTAGTTCCGGTCCCTCATTAGAACCAATGCCTTGTAGCTGTCTCTGTTGTCTGAAACCATTTTACACAAAGCTGACCAGGTATCCGTTGAGCCGGAATAACCGATACTGGAAAGCGAGTTCTTTCTTAAGTAGATCATCGCTGTTTCAGTAACGATAGGCCCGGTAAAAAGGGGTCGGGCGCAGTACCTTTTATGGGCCGCAGAATGATGGTCTTCATAGTTAAGGAAGATGTCAGCATTAGAGCCTTTTCGCTGGACGCTCGTTGAGAGGTTGCCATCGTTGGAACACGAGGATGCCCTCTGTTGCGTCTTTGTGAGCAATTGCTCAACTTCGCAGTTCTTCACCTACGTGTCGAAGCCACATTTTGGCCGAAAAGCTCGCATAACATCCTCTTATAGTTGTTGTCATACCAGTCCTGCGAGTAGACCCCATATTATTGAGCCCATTTGGGTGCCCTTAACCTGCTAATAAAAATTTCCATCGAATTGACAGTGGTTCTTGATACAGAGTCCAAGCACTTCTGAAACGTGCTGCATTGCATGCGTCAAGTTACACTCTCAATTGCCAGCTCATGTGGCAGTGAGGAAAATGGGGCAACCACATCAAACGATGGGATGCACTCATCGGGACTTCCTTTTAGGATCCTGTGGAGGAATGCCTACAAGTCTGTGAAGCTGTATTGTGATCCATCGATGAGGTGCTTCAGGTGCCTGTGTAAACATTTGGTGAAGTTGCAAGTGGGCGACCAATGAGTGGCACTATGATCCTCAGTGGTGCATCTGCTCTGTGCGCCTTTGGGAGGTCATACGCACATGCAATGCCGGAGTTACTGAGAGCCATAAATCTGGAGTCATGTGGACTTCTGAATCTCAATTGAGTGAGCTCATTCACCTTCTTCTTTACAGCCGCAGTCTGCATTTTATTTGGATTCTCAGCGAGTGGTGTGTAGGCTTTCCCTTCGCTGAGGACTTGGTTAGCCATGTTGACGGAATCAGTCTTTTCCATGGTGATAGATGCGCCGCCGTCTGCGTTATTTGTCTTTGGAGACTGTAACCCCTTGTCTTTACCGATGGGTAAGACTTGGCGGTGGTGGTTCTTTTGTCTCCCAACGCCTCCAACATCGACGCACTGACTTCGACTACCAATGCCCCATCGACGATCGCCAATACCACCGTCTGCAGTTCCATTCAATCGCCAGCCGCCTTCCCCCAACAGTTCTCCTCCCCCCTTCTCTAGCCCAAAACCGTGCCGTAGTTATGTGCTCACCCCTCTCTCATATACCAGTTGCCTGTCTGTCAGTGTCTGTCCTGTTGGACCATTCGGTCTAGTCTGTCCCTTTCTCTTTCTCATCTGTTCATTTTCTTTGATAACGGGTTGTAGTCGCCAGCTTGAAAATTCATAGTACAATTTTATTTTTTTCCTACGAGCCTTCTCTGTTTCTTATATATGTTAATATCAGAAGAAAATGCGATCTTGGGAACCATAGTTTATTGGTCTGACGTTTAAGAATCTCACGAGCTTCCGTTGTTGGAGGTGAGTATCGTATTAAATCTCATGTTAATTATATGGGTTTGACTTAACAGTGTGCCCTGGGGAGTGGTAAGAGACTGTGGCACTCATTGTCCGCATACTTACAGGAGCAATTTTTGTAGTCGTCGGGGTGGAGGGGTAAGAGGGTGACTACTGTTAATTGGGGCCGGCGTTTGAACGTTGGCGGCCATCACACGCATTCGCATTGACCTTATCTGATGCCCTGAGTTGCTAGCTTGCAATAACGTTTGGCCTACACCTTCACGCCTGTTATTTCGTTCGTTGAGCTGCGTGCAGAGGCTTGCTAGGCTTTCGGAAGGGCGACACCGGTTAATTGAGGTAGTCTCAGTGTTCTGGGCCTCATTGGTTTCCCTGACTACGTAGTCATTTCCTCGATCAAGGATTTCGGAAAACGTGTGCTAAGAGCCTGCAGAGTGTCTCGCTACCGGAGACAATTGGTCCGTTCTTGGCACTGTCCGCATGTGTTCTTTAAGTTGGATCTGTAATCATTTGCCGGTGCCTCCAATGTAATTAACTTCTCAGGACTTAGACTGGACTAGGACGATGAAGTTTGTCGCTCCACCTCTTGACAGGGTGCCTTCGGTCTCATGATTAGAAATCAACTGGCTGAGTCCAGTCGATTGGCGATATCTATCCCAGTTAGCGTCGGCCAGCCAATCAGAGAAAATGCCTCAGAGACGCCGTCAATGTATGGCAGCGCACGCCAGACTTTTGAC